TTTTTTCATGTTTTTAATTGTTTTTTTTTATATGACAATAAAACAGGCCCTGAAGATGACAGTTTAAAAAAACTTTCGAAAGCTCGGCGAAAACCGAAAGGAAGTTTTTCTCTGTGTTGACCTCTTCCGTAGATCCTCCGAAAAAACTTCATGTTTCCAGCAGGTCGATAACCCAGCTCATCGAAATAAAATGTACTAAGACATAAGGTATACAGGAAGAGTGAAGAGGAAAGATTAAAGAGAGATATAAATTATTTGGAGAGGAAAGCAGAGGGAAAAAGAAGAAAGAGAGAAATAAAGCGAGTGGGAGATGAAAAACGGGAGAGAGAAAGAGAGAAGGGAAAAGAGAAAGAGAGAGAGAGAGAGAGATTTAATTAATTGTATTAAAAGATAAAGTATGTAGAAAATATGAGAGATAAAAAGAATGTGGTAGAAAGTTGAGAGGAAATGTAGAAAGAAAGAAAGAAAAATTATGAATATACAAGGTCAAAAGAAAGAGCGGGAGAGTGAGAGAGAAACAGAGAGAAGGAGAGTGATAAAGTGATAGAGAGAGAGAGAGAGAGAGAGAGAGAGAGAGAGACAGACAGACAGACAGACAGACAGACAGACAGACAGACAGACAGACAGACAGACAGAGGGTGAGAGAGAAACAGTGAGTTTGAAAACAGAAAATGGAACATGAAGAGGAGATTGAAGACAACTAAGAAGTAATGAGGAAAAGAAGAAAAATTGATAGACAGAAAACCATTTCTTTTTTTTCCATTTTATTAAAATTGTAATAAATATTGAAAACTGAATTACCTCAAATAATCCCAATTTTTAACATTTCATAGTTAAAAGTTCCCCTGATTGTTGCAATACAGTTTCTTCAGAGTGGAGAATAAATTGGACAATAAATGAAACTCTAATGAAAAGTTAAGAAGGTTTATCTGCCAAACGTATTATAGGCAAACATAAGAAAAATTCAAATTATACGCGCGTTACACTGTACACTTCCCATATCCATCTTCCATCAAAACCACATCTAATAGACAATGATCAATCTACTTACTTCGTCTACTTTTAATCATCAACCTAACTGTTAATTATGTAATGAAGCAACATTTTAGATTCGCCAAAGGCTGGAGTTTTAGGTAATCGATTTGTATTCTTTACTTATTTTGATAACATTCTGCAAAAAATTACATAAACGCTAATAACAAATTCCTTTTTCCACAGATCGACCTCAACAAAAAATTAATCGATTTCTATATCAACAAAAGAAACGACTGATGTTCAGGGAACGTTTTAAGTATCAAAATTATCTAGAATAATTAATTAAAAAAAGTAATTATTACCATAATAATAATAATTAGTATTTTTCAAAACATCCCTATTTACGTTAGTTTATAAAAACAAAACAGCTAGAGGAAACAAGAAAACAAATAAAAATAAAACAACCCCGACATACTAGAGGATATTTTCTTTTTTGTGGGACCGTGTGAGCATTTGTCTGCCACAACCACCTCTCTCTTGCTCCGATTTCTTTCTCTCTTCCCATTTTCTTTCCGCTCACACACTCTGGAAGTTTTCTTCCACACTGACAAGTGACAGCCGTCACGTTATGCTGCTGAAAGAGCGTGATAATTTTCAAAATACTATTTGTGTAGAAATGACTCTCAGACATTTCATTTAAAGGTAAATCTTTATCAATCGGTTTAATTGCTAATAATCATTTGTATCTTTTTATTAAAATAAAACAATATTTTTTCTTGAAACAAACACATGTTTTGGAAAAACGTTCCAACATTTAAAGACCCATGTTAGAAAAAAATCGGAAAGTATTTAATAAAATTTCACCGTGAAATTTCCGAATGTTAATTCTTTTTAATCCAATTGGACGCCCAATGACTAAAGACGTCAGAACCTTCTTTGGTAGTTAACTTCATAAAAATATTTGACGACCTTTAAAAGCCCTCTTTGGTTCACCTTTTCGCCAGGGTAACTACATCTACCCAAATCGAATTACTGAAAATGAAAGGTCGAGCATTCATTAATCGTTGACATCTGAAAAGAGACCTATTACGCCCTAGAAACCTATTACTGCACGACGGTCACTGCTCTCTTTCCAAGAGAACTGCCGTTTGCTAAAGTTTAACACAGTTTAATTAACTATGGAAGGGTTTTCTGACAAAATTCATTAGATACAAAAATTACAAAAAAAAATTGACAGTAAAAGCATGTACTAGTTTATATTGAAGTTCTTCAAAATCGCAAGGAGATTTATTAAAGTTAAATTACTAGCTAAGTAATTTAATTTAATAGTTTTCACCCACGCTTACAATTTACACATGAAATCGAAAACAATATCATTTTTAGATACACTCGTAATAAAACAACCAGAACACTAATCTCAGATTGGTATCAAAAACCAAGAAACACAGATCGCTACCACGACTTTACATCACACCATCCTCTTCATACAATAATAAACACGACGAAAGGGCTACTTCACAGAATTATTACCCTAAGCCATGAATCATTTCACCACAAGAACATAAAGATATACAAACAGATCTCCACAACAATCACTACACTAAACACATAATCAACAGAATGATCAACAACTACAACTCAACACTAACACCATCAACTATTACTAATTTTAGACTGAAGACAAATCATGGCCTATGGGGTAGCTACAAGAAGAGAATCGGTTTGGCATCGTCTCTGAACTGTCCCACTTGCGATTGCCCTTCAAATCCTGCCCACATAATTTTTGAATGTCCAGAATATGAAAATGAAAGAGACAAACTGCTAAAAAATCTGAGCAAAGTCCCAAACATTTCCAAACCAATAAATTTAGAATCTGTCCTAATAAGCAACAATCCATCAGCTTTCAGCATAATCTATGGATTTCTAAAGTCGATAAACGTTTCTTTTTGATTATCTTCAACCATGAAAATTTAGAAGATGGTAGAGCTGAATGAGTGGTGCGGGCGCGCGGCGGGGACCTGGTACTGGTCGGCCGATCAAGCTCGACAGTAAAATGAAAATAGAAAACTTCATGAGTAATATGCCAAAAAAAAATATATAAAAAATAACTATTACTAATAATACTACATCAAATATAGACAAACAAACATATATTTACATGTCATTCATTCACGGCCTATCACATAAATCAAACACATTTCTCTCTTCTGATAACTTTAAAATAGCTTTCAAAAACTATAAAACAATTCAAAAACTTTTTCCAAAATTAAAGATCCCACACCAATAACAAATAAATCTGATGTGATTTACAAAATCAATTGTTTAAATTGTCCATCGATCTTACATCCCAATATCAGGATAAGAGAGTAAAGCAACATATCTATGATTGCAAAAAACAAACAAAATCCTACAGCACTGGCTACCCCATTTTGAACACCAACTACAATTTCGACGTCAACAATCCAAAAATGTTACACACAGAACAAAACAAACTTAAACGTAACTTTTTAGAAATGGTTTACATCAACAGGGATAAACACAGCATCAATTACAGAACAGACACATGTAAACAGCAGCTAAGACAGTATCATTAATCAAATTCAATATCAATAACATACATATATCATCATCACATCACACACAACATATAATAACTACATATAAAACAATCATCACATTCCACACCTCAAACATTTCTATATAGTCTAATTCTTCAACAATTTTGCTTTCCTTTCCCCGTCTATATAATCCTAAAGGATAATCAGGCCGAACCATTACCCATTTTTTCCCATTGTCGGCTCCTTTCACCTCAAAGAAGCTTCAAAATCCAACGTATATAAACGTAAAACATCGATATCTCACTGGTACTCTCAACACGACACACAAAAATGACACGTATATACTGAAAACAAACTCTTTGAGTGAGTACAAATACATTGATTGAATCTAAATTTTCTACCGTTGTAAAAATTCGTTTTTTTCACATCCTACATGTACTTGTAAAATTTAAACAATGTTTATAAATCCCAGGCCCTGAAGATGATCTCAATAAAGATCGAAACGTTGGCACTATAAAGAAAATGTTTTCTAAAACCTACGTCACACCAGACCGCATCTCACGATCTACAAATACTCATTAACTAACGGACACCAAACACCACACACGTTATTACTAAAAAAAAAAAAAAAGCAAAGAAAGAGCATCAACTGCAACCAAAAGTTGTCGCCTAGGAAGGATCAGAAATTTTTGAGGGGCAACTCGAAAATATAATTCTACGTTACGTGGTCAATTCACCAAGCACATAAGGAATAGTGATATACAGGGGGCCTATCACCTACACGTACAAAATAAATTGGAGGCTACACAACCGTAGCATAAAAAGATTGAAAAGGACATCGCCAATTGAGCTCGTGAAGTGAAATAATAATAGTGATAAGTGAAGTGTAAATCTTATTGTATCTATGGTGTACCTGTTTATTTATTAATGTGTATTATTGTAAAATTAGGGAGTGGTCTGTGAAAACTAATTTTAAAAAATATACTAAAAAAATTGCTTTTATGTTTTTGTCTTGAGTTAACGGCGTTAAATAAACATTGCTAACGAAAGGGAAGAAATCAAATTGTAATAAACCGCAATATTCGAAAAACCATTTATGTTATTGTGTATACAAATAAGGAAATATATAAAAGAACTGAAGAAGAATAACAGGTGGTTATATTAGAATGATTATATCAACTCAATAAGAAAAAAAGGATGGTCCAACTAACAAGCTTAAGTTCCTTTTCAATTATAGAATTAAATATTATGAAACTGTAGATTTTTGAATATATTTTATGTAATTTTTACCTCGTAAAAACTAATTCTGCTAAAGATAAACTAATATAAAACCCAAGGTATAAATGAATAATATAAGAAACATAAATTTTTCATTTTCATATTAAAATATACCATCTGAAAATTAAAACTATTAAAAGTTTTTTAAATTATTATAAGTGTTCATACAAAAATGTAAATATACCCTATCGTTTTCTTTGTTCAAGTTTATTAATTTTTCTTGTACTCACTTCCGTGGGGGAAGAATTTCGAATATATGTCTCGAAAGGCATCTTCTTGTACGACTCCTTCAGGGCACTCCTGAAAATAAAATGAATAAAACATCAAAATCTTTTTCCGATATGTACTTGAAATTGTTGGTTTTGAAGTGATGGCATGAATTGATGTGAAAAAATTTCTTGAAATTCTTCTTCGGGGTCTCTCCACTGTGGTTTGGAAAAAGGTGAAATAAAACTGTTTTTCTCTTGACGCCCGGTTTCAGATAATTTACTGTCTACAAAGCCTACGTCACACCAGATCGCACCTCACGATCTTCAAATAATCATTGGCTAACGGTCACTAAACACCACACATTTCGTAGTGTTTTGACATTCCAATGTGTACGCCTTCTAGTCGACGATTTTATTTAAAAATACAATCAACCTAGGTTGTCTAAGATTTTAAGTTTGATCGGTTCTGACAAGCTGAAGGATCATTTTTCACGTACCTCCTTCTTGTTGCTCTAGGGAAAGGCGATACCCAATTGGGGGAAAGTTATTGAACTTGAAGGGTGCAAGAAGGGTATGTAGTTGATATCGCCTGAGTCTTATTAATGAGGAAGCCTAAGCCTTAATTGCTTTTATACTTGGGCCGGGCTCGTCTTTACAACTTTGAACTAATGACGTCAAAATCATTAACTCACGCCTTGGACCACTCTGAAATTTCCATTTTCCGACCAAACAACACTCCCAGAGATGTAATTTTTCCCCTTAATTTTTAATCCGTTTTTTGATCATCAGAACTTCCTTTTCGGCAAACAACAAGCTAGTGTTTTAAGCTTAAACTTTTGCCATCCCGTAAGTATCCCTTTTCATATTATATGGCCTGCAGTTGCTACAAACAACTTCATCTTATGAAAAATGCCTCATGTGGTGGAATTTCTTTTTTCAGTAAGCAAAAGTATTGGGTTGTCCGGAAAATAATGCAGGATTTTGGTATTAAACAAAAAAAAAGAAACTAGTTACTTTAAAGCAATGTTCTTTAATCAAANTGACATTCATACAAATGAGTAATCCTGTAAACGTAAACAGAATATTTTATATAGATTTTTTTTAATGAAAACTTAAAATCCTGCATTATTTTCCGGACAACCCGATACCTTTTAGAAAATCGCGTGAACGACAGCTTGTAAATCGTACAAATTTTATTTAAAAACCTTTACAATAAAAAATTTGCCTTTGTATTTTTCATTGCGGAGAGACATTATGATGCAAATAGTTAGGTTTATTTTGTAATGTTTAGTTTTTTTGTTGCCAGTCGTGTATATACTCTCCTCTGTCTTGAACTAATTAACTTCTCAAGTTGTAATTGTGGTCCTCATCTTATTTCAACATTTTCAACAAATTTTTTGCGTGACCATTTTCACGTAATCAATTTCGCGTTTTCATTGAGTGGACATAAGGGTAAAATTAGGGGCGGGTTAGGTTAGGTTACATAGAGTGAAGGTTATCAATAGATTCACTAGTTTCGTGGTCCGCTTGACCAATTAATATCTTACAATTAATTAAGGTTTTTAGTCGAGATAAAAAAGTCAATGGCACGACCGGGATTCGAACCCTTGGCTTGATACGCCGCTGCTCTACCATTTGAGCTATCGTGACCTCGATCCACTCGGACACCAACCTCCCATCTCAAAAATTCAAAAGTAAGGTTGGTAAGGTTAAAAGTAAGTTAAAAGGTGTGGTTAAGATGGGAGGTCACGATAGCTCAAGCGGCGTATTTAGCCGAAGATCGTGGGTTCGAATCCCGCTCGTGCCATTGACTTTTTTATCTCAACTGAAAACCTTAATTAATTGTAAGTTAACAATAGAGTTGGTTAAAGTTAGGGTAGGGTTAATGTACATACCTATGATTCAATTGTTTTTCTTAAAAATAGGTCTAACAAATTCATAAAAAGTATTTTCAAGAATGTGAACATTATACAGGTTGATTCGTTACTCGTACGACAAATTTCGTCATATGCCTCTATACCTCAAATGCAACAAAAAAGTTCGTATGAACCATCGTCCGACTTTTAACCGTTTCACTAATATTCAACTTTTTTTTAAGGCTTTGAAAAGAGCGTTAAATTTCGACACCATTGTAGAAACTTTAATTTAATTTTTGATAAGAAAAAACATTAATCTTTCAAAAACTGCTACATTTAGAATATGTGAAAAAAATAATTTTGCTACCTTATTATTGTTTTTACTTAACTTTACTGTTGTTACCTTTTTATTTAACCTTCGGTCAACAACGTGAAACGCCCGGACATATACTACAATGTCGGGTCATTTTGACCCAACTTTGTTTTTAATTGCAATGAGTCATATTTTTCAACATTTTTGGGAAATATTAATAACTTTTTTTTTAAAGTTCTTACTTTTATTAACCATTTCGGATAGAAAACCACATTTTTTCAAAATAAGTGGTATAAAACATATTTTAATCACAATAAAGTAAAGTCTAGCAAAGAAAACCTCGAAGATTTTGGGAAATCTTTCTTTGTGAAAGTGTAACTCCGAGCTTTTGATATATCTACAAAATTACAGTCACACGTCTTCGTAAAGTGCACATTGAATTCTTATAAAATGAAAATGAAAAAGGTAACTTCACAAAAATTGAACACAGTATCACAAGGAACAAAAATGACAAATACTCCGAAGAACGGAAAGCAAAGAAGGTAGATAAATCGGTTTTTGGACATCACTGCTCGAAAAATCAATGGTCTAAATAGACGACAAAATGTGTCTGAGACATTCAGGTTCAAATCCATCATATAACCGCTGAAAACTAAAAGGCCTAGCAAAGCGTTCAGTTCAAGACCATCTGTGGGTCCAATATAGCGCTGGTCAGGACTGTTGACTTTTTATTTTGATTGAGTTTTTATTTATCAATCTCTTCATTGATATATTTTACAATGACATCAATCTTGGCTTGGTTGATGAATATGGAATACAATGGTTCCTGATCTACAAGGTTCCGAGCATTTCCTTTGGCAGCAGGCAATGGGTAATCATATTCCTTGAAGGTAATCTGACGTTTCTGGACGGTAAAAGATCGGTACCAGTCCAGATAGTTTCGTCACCTTTGCCCAACACAAAGTTTCTGCTTTTTTCTCTATCTTCGGAACCGAAATTTGAAAAATTTTCTAGGCTAAAGCGGTCCTCTGAGAGCGCATCGTCTTCAGGAAGAACGTCGAAAGCGTCAGATTTATCATTGTCGTTTGGCAACAAATCATTTTCATCTTCACTGTAAGTTACTTCATCCGAAAAATATTCCTCGTTTTCAATATCACTGATATTCCTATATCCTATATCCTACGTCGAATTTCTTCGTCAGTTACAAAATGTGAACTATTTGCCATGGCTGAAACAATCCAGAAAGATTACAAAGAAAATCATCGAGAAAACTAATTAAATTTATAGAAACGAAATTAAATTTGAACTAAAACTAAAAGAACATGGGGTCATATTGACCCATACCATGATTTTCCTTACTTTATTCCAATATTACGAGGTCACTTACCTTTGAAAACGGTTCCAGTGGCGTCCACGTCTACAAGAAGACTAGAAGGAAAGCTAGTCAAAGCCTCAACCTCTTCCAATCACTACACACGCGCGTTTTTGAAAATTTGGGTCATATTGACCAGCACGTTGTAGAACAACGGCTAATTACATCGAAGCAAAATGCAGAAATTTTCTTCTAAATGGGGAAAAAATCGGTGTCGGTATGTAAAAGGGGTAGAGTGGTTAATGTAGAAATTCAACTTTTTGTCCTGGGCAAAATTTATTTCCCAACTTTAACTTAATAAACGAGCACAAAATGAAGAACAAATGAAACAAAACACATAAAAAAGAGACAAGAAACATAGTGACAGTTAGGGTTTTTTGTAAAAATTTTCACTAATATTTATATATATTTTTATTTTATTGTTGTAAGTATAACTGTGTACGTGGAAAAAGTTTTTTTTTATTACTGCAACCACAGAAATGTTACATTGTAAATATGTATTATTTTATATACATATATAATGTATATACCATACATTTAAATAAATAAATAAAAACATGGCGAATAACCAAAACAGAAAAATTTGGTAACATGTAATAAACACAGACGAAAGAAACAGAAAGAACAATATTACGGAAGTTGTAAAACCCCACTTTAACTTATGGAAAAGCAAAAAAATAAAATTTTAAGTTAATTTGGTTATTCACTGTTTATTGTTTTTTTTAATTTTTATTTTAAGTTAAATTTTTTTTTGAGAATCGGAGGTTCAAACGAACTTTTTTGTTTAATTTGAGGTGAAGAAACGCTTGACAAACTTTGTCCTACGGGTAGCTAATCACTCTGCATAATATAAAGTTAGATGACCATATTACTTTCGAATTGTTGTAGACTGTGAGAATCGGTCAATAGGGATGGAGCAAAAAATCACTAGATCTCCAATTGCTTAATTGGATTTTTATTAATTTATTAATTAAATTATGACGTGTTATAAATGAGCAGTGATAAGTGCATAAATAGGAAATGGATGCCATATGGCAATTGCACTGATGGCACACCATCTCGAAAAATTTGTTAAATGTTAAGTTTTCTGCCTGTTGTATTGTTTGTCTATTCTAAACTCTTAAATTCAAATATAATCGGCTAAATGCGAAAAAGGATGCAGATGGGACACCCTGGCAACAGCGGCCTTTTCAAAGATGAATCAAAGCTTACCATTTTCATAACTGATTTGTTTTCCGAATAAATTATTCATCAGAAAATCCGAGAGTTCGAGTAAAAACAAAACTATTATTTTGACATTAGGACAAATCAATTGTTCAAGAGTAAAGTACCAAATAATGGCGTGATTGTTGAAGTTTTATAAAAAAATTTAAAACGTCAGAAATAAATTACGTAAGTATGTCTTAAATGGTAATTTTTATTATTCAATTTGTGGAAAGAAGCTATGACGAACTAACTAACCATGCTGTACCGTTTATTTTAGAACTTTTCATGTCTTTCGCTTGTTTCATCGTCAGCAAATTCTCTCTGAGGCGATATATAAAAAAATCTAAGCATTTCTAATGTAAACAAACACACTTTACAATATATATTTTAATAAATAATTTAATTTATTTGATAAAATATTTTATTGTAAAAATGATGAATGTTTGTTCTTTCTGTCAAACTTCAAAAGTTATTTTAGAACCATTAAAAATGTATTAAAGATCTGGTCACATTCAAAGTTGTTAACTCGTATGATGTCTTTAGTATTTCATACTTGCGTTTCACTTTGTTTTTATTCCGTTTTTATTCTTACACCATTTTTCGTTTACTTTTCATTTCATTTCAAGAGAGTGAGGAGGGTGAGATAGAAAGAAATAAAAAGAGAGCAAGGGTGGTGAGACAGATAATTAATTGTTCTAATTTTTATTTAATTAATTTAAACTAATATGTGAAATTACAATTATTGCACGATTATTATCATCATAACTAAAAAATTTTAAACATTTAACAATTAATTTTCTATTGATTATGATATAATTTTAATTAAATTGTACCTGTTTTTTTTTCATTGACTTTGAACAAAATATAAATCAAATTTGTAGTGTTTAGTGACCGTTAATCGATGATTATTCAGAAATCGTGAGATGCGGTCTGGTGTGATGTAGGTTTCAGAAAAACATTCTTTATCGTGCCAACGTTTCGATCATTATTGAGATCATCTTCAGATCCTGGGATTTATAAACATTGTTTAAATTGTACAAATACATGTAGGATATGAAAAAAATGTTTTTTTGAAACCTACGTGTGATATAAGATGATCTCAATAAAGATCGAAACGTTGGCACGATAAAGAATGTTTTTCTGAAACCTACATCACACCAGACCGCATTTCACGATTTCTGAATAATCATCGATTAACGGTCACTAATCAACACAAATTTGATTTATGTTTTGTTCAAAGTCAATGAACGAAAACAGGTACAATTTAATTAAAATTATATTGTATAAATAAATCAAATTCTTTTCTTGATATCTATCAAATATATAATTTCTTATTATTTGTTTTATTTATTTTATTCTTCACATTTTTGTTAACGAAAAGTTAGTAAAAGAAGCTTTAAGTTCAGGCAATAATCATTTGGTACGTTTTTCTTGATTGGAATATTAAAGAAACAATAGGAGGACTTACTTAAATTGAATTCGCCACGAAACGATATTGTATAAAGGAGAAATTTGGCCCAACTTTGTAAGCCCAAGTGTTGACAGAAGTCGATAGGGCTTGTTCGGAGACGATAATAAAACATAATTAAAAACAAAAACGTCTCTTGAAGGTACTTTCTCTGCCGGGCTTGACTTTGGCTGTCTTTAATGAATGAAAAACGTTTCTTTCGCCAAAGTCTTTCGAAATTAACTAATTAATTTTAATGGAAAATTTCATTTCGATCCAAGTTTGGCCAATGAAAAAAGTCAAAGCAATTGTTGTTGATAAAATCGTGCCTGTTCAATTTTGATTAAACTTTTATGTTAATAGTGTTTCTTTTTTGTAACAATAAAAATCGTTCCCTTGTTTAATTTATTTTCCATACCTCGGGATATTCCTTTTAGAGCTACACTCAGCGCATATGGAGCGTAAGAATTCAAATTGAAAGCTTTGATATATGAATTTTGGCCTCATTTGGCATACAATCATAAAAATGAAAGGACGTTTATACCCCTATATTTTTAAATATTAAAAATACTCTGCGTAATACTTACAAAAACATAGAATAATATTTTAGAAATATTTTTACTTAAAAGTATATTTACTTGCTTCGAAACCTGGAAATAAACTTAGATTTGTCAGAAAAACTGTTGACACTGCATGTATAGTACGTATGTATAAATTTTATTGTACATAATTTTGATCTACAATATTTGTTTACATAGTTGTATCCAATAGATTCCATGGCAGTATTGTACCTTTTTCCTAGTCTGCATTAAGTATAAGACGCATTGTACCTTAAAATAAGCATTAAATATATATCTCTCAATTAATTAAGAGTTTTAGTTGAGATAAAAAAGTCAGTGTCATGAGCGGGATTCGAGCCCAAGAAAAACTACTCAAATCGATTTTAGAAATAATCTGATTTTAAGACCTTACTACTAAATGTGATCTTTATTTTTAAATTTTATTTATTTTACTTTATTCATAGCTTCAAATTCACTAATTTCGTGGTACACTTGACCATTAATATATTACAATTAATTAAAGTTTTTTGTTGAGATAAACAAGTCAGTATCACGAGCGGGATTCGAACCCACGATCTTCGGCTATATATCTTATCTTCGCTACACTAGATGTCATTTACGTGAAAACGGTGTGAATCCACTCCTTTATGTACGGTTTGGATGCTATGTGCTTATTTGTTATTTAACTAATTAAGGTTTTTAGTTGAGATAAAAAAGTCAGTGTCACGAGCGGGATTCGAGCCCACGATCTTCGGCTAGATACGCCGCTACTTTACCACTTGAGCTATCGTGACCTCGATCCACTCGGACACCAACTTCCCATCTCAACCCCACCTTTTGAATTTTCCCTCCTTTTTGCCATTTTTCAAATGTCGTGTAATCTATTTGATTCTCGGCGACAAATGAAATGGCCACGGAGAGCTTTAATGAAGGTATACTTCATTTAAACTCAATAAATTCACAAGTTTTCGTGGTCCGCTTGACCAATTACCTAGACTAACTAGTGAATTCAAGTACATTCCATTCACATCAAATCAAATAACAGACAAGAACTTAAACATAATTCATCACGGTAATTGGTTAAACAAAATGAATTGGCTGACACACATTTCCTTTGAACACATATTCATTATTTTTTCAAACAATAATTGCTTAAGGGTTTTATGTTTGTATTTACGGTAGTTCAAGCCTTCCCTATAACAAATAAATCAATTTTGTAATGTACAAATTGGCTATTTATGGATGAATTATCAAAATTTAAAATTTCTATATAGATGTGGGTCATTATGCTACGTATGTTTAGCGTTACATGCACTCTATCGGCAGAGACATATTTCCCCCAATGGGATGACCATAAGTTATTAATGGACGTATGTATAGTTCATAAATAATTTTTTATTTGTAATGTCCATACATGGACGCTTGTTAAAGACTACGAAAAGGCTCCTTAAGATGATCCATGGTTTTGAACATTTATTTTCAACATAGTCCTTAAATTAATCTATATGTGTATTTAGTAGTCATAATTGATCGTATTAATTATAGCAATTAAATGAAGTCGCTACAAAGTCGTGGGTTCGAATCCCGCGCATGACACTAGCTTTTTCATGTCATCCAAAACCTTAGATAAAAAGTATAATTAATTTAAATAATTAATACTATCAATNATTTCAAATTTTCATCTTAACCACACTTTGCATAAAAATTGTAAATTAATTAACATAACGTTGGTTAAGTAGGACCAAGTAAAATATATATGTATTAATATAATAATGACGGAAGTACTTTTCTAATAACCAGTCCATAAGTCGCCGAGAATGGAATCTTGATTATACGATATTTGAAAATATGTCGAAAAGAGAGAAAATTCGAAAAATTGAAAGTTGTGATGAGGAGTGATGTCCGCGTGGATCGATGTCACGAGCTTAAGTGGTTATTGAGTTATAGCAGTGGCGTATTGTGCTGAAGATCGTGGGTTCGAACCCGTTGTGACACTAGCTTTTACATCTTAACCAAGACTTTAAATAAGTAGTAATTAAAACTAAAGCATCCCTACTGAACGCTCTTATAAAGGCACTATCATCAACAAAAAGAGCTAATTCAGCTGTAGTTTGCGGCTTGCAAAGGTCATTTATAAAATTGGTGGGGGGGGGGCAACAACGGTTAAGCGTTCACACGGTGCTCATCATTGTAAGGTAAAGGACCCGCGTTCGAATCCAGCGGCCGTCCATTCAAACCTGACATATTTACAAATAGGCTTTTTTTCAAAAACATCGGCACCCCGAGGGTTCATATGAACTCATAGTTGAAAAAGATAAAAGGTAAGAATGAAAATTTAAGATTTCGTAAGGTGTTGGAACAGGAGTATTTTAAACGGAAATCTATTTTTTCCTATATTCACCGTTTCGGAATGAAGGTTTGCTATGACCGGGTTTTTTCTCCCTATTTTTATCATTTAATCAGGTTGGACGTTAAGCAGAACCGAAAGAGTTGATTACGAGATATTTTTCGGAGAGAAATCCACACCTGGCATTTTTGGTTAATAATTCCGACGTTATCAATGAAGTCTCATTCTAAAAGAAAAAGACTGAAAAAATCGTATGCTCTGGTTTCTAGGCGCATACCGGCGTTGTAATCATTTTCGTATAATTTTAAAAACGAAGAAAACACCCTGGAACACCTCCTTAATTGCTGTATTATAGGATTTAGTTGGAAGGTCTCAACCCTTCCTCGCGTTGATTTCAACTTAATTTCAACTCACCTACTAACAAACTATGGCGCCACATTTGCCCACTGAAGGACGTGTTTTGGGACGTACAACGAAACCGTAGAAGAAAGTCGATCACTGAAACCGGGCTTACTAATCAAGTTCCTTGATTACCTAAGACTCACCGGTTTGCTGTAAGCACAGAACGAGGGATATAATAGCTCTTAAAGGGCGCAGTATATTGCACACCCTGAATGATACATCTACATCTATGTACACGTTTCATCAAAAATCCTGCTAAATATTTGTCAAAAGGAATACCATCACGAAGCATTACACCATATTCAAGCAAAAATATAAATATAACGCCAAAAGTTTAGGTTGAATGTAAAATTTCAATCAAATATGTTGTGATTTTGATGCAAGTTTACTTATAGATGAAACGATATTTTAAAATTGATAATCTCAATATTTTATTTTACGAATACGTAAAACAAATGTATCGACCACATTGATTTTCACATGTGTACCAAATATTTACATTACAACAAATGTACATTAATAATAAGTAGTTTAAAAAATAGAACACCGGTTTTTTGTTAATAGATTATTTAATTCTCAGAAATTTACTCATATCTAGAATTTAGAAGTTTTCAATGAAATTTTTTGTGGACAACTAGTGTCGATGGGCGTCTTATGAGCCGAGTTTCTCACCGTTCCAATTTACAAATTGACTTGTTTTGAGCCGAAACCGGGATGGAACTCGCCTTCGGGCCGATGGACTCCAGCGAGTCGCTGGAGGCGTTCTACGACATCGTTTCCACAGACATGTACACGGCGAGCGTCGCCTCGCTCGACATGTACCCAGAAGAGCTGCCTGAACCGAAGCCGAAGGAAGTGAAGATCGGCGAAGTCCGCAGCCTCGCCAAGCACTGTCTTCACGTCATAGCAGATTTCTTCCACATCTTGTACGAGAAGGTGCCCCACATCCCAAACCGGCAATGGGAGTACTTCACGCAGATCCTGCCGATAGACGTCGACTTGGGCTATGCCGCATTAGTTGTCCGTAAGTTGAAACCAACATTTTTTTCCAAAAATGGTTTATTTTTGTTTTATAATCTTCAAAAATATCAGTTGTTATTACTTGTCATCTGTTTCAGAAATATTAATGCTATGAATAAAGTAAAATAATTAAAATTTAAAAATAAAGATCACATTTAGTAGTAAGGATTTAAAATCAGACTATTTCTAAAATCGATTTGAGTAGTTTGTTTTCTTGGTTCGTCATACTATAAATAATATTATCCAAAAGTTTTTTGGCAATTTTTTTTTCCAAATATGATTTCTTTCTGTTTTATAGTCTTCAAAAATACGTTTCAGAACGATTGTGACAAATGACTGGTTTTACATGACGACTGGGACGAAAAGTAAACACGATTGGGACGTTAATACTAGTGAATGGAGACACGATTGAGACATTGGAAATTTTATTGCAATATAAACATTTTTAATATAAACAATACATTACTTAGCTGGTAAAGGTCTCAGATAAATGGAAATTAGGTGCGGTGAAAATTGCACTTCGTCATGAATGAATGAAATGTAATGAGCCGAGTTTCTCACCGTCCCAATTTACAAATTGACTTGTTTTGAGCAGAATCCGGGATGGAACTCGCCTTCGGGCCGATGGACTCTAGCGAGTCGCTGGAGGCGTTCGACGACATCGTTTCCGCAGACATGTGCACGGCGAGCGTCGCCTCGCTCTACTATTATTGTATTGTTGCCGTTGCAATTGTTATTATTATTGTATTGTTGTTGCAGTTCTTTGACCCGCTTTTGTTAGTGCGCTGGTAAATCTGGGAAATTTTCTTTGATCATAGGCGGTTTTATTTAACTCAAAAGAAGCCTAGAATGAGGATTTTCTGAATTAGACTCAATATTGGAAAGGAATTATTCTTTTTATGTAAGGTCTAGTTGAGATGAAAAACTTGGTGTCTTAAGATTAACTGGTCTTACCGTCAAGTAAGATTGCAGATAGGATTTGGTTCATCTGTCATCGCTGATAACCCTATGACAAACGCATTGGCTTAGCAGTATTTAACGTACACCCGTTGTTAATTGGGTTTATTAGGTTAAATAGCTGAATCCTGAAAGTTTAAGTTGTTCAGCCTTCTCCAGTATTATAATGTATTTTTTTATGTAAGGTCTTTGTTGAGATGAAAGATATCACGAGCGGGATTCGAACCCACGACCTTCGGCTCAATACGCCGCTGCTCTAAACACTTGAACCATCCTAACTTCGATCCCCTCAGACACCAACTCCACATCTCAACCTACAGCCAATTTTCTCTAGTTTTTGCAATTTTTAGACTACTTAATGGATTGGAAAGGAAGTTAATTATTAAGGACGATTTTGAAGGAAAGAGAAATATAAAATTAAGGTTTAATAGTTTACTTGTTTTATGATGTTGGATGAGTTTGCATGTATCTGTTCTGTAATTAATTTTGTTTTCGTGTCCCTGTTAATGTAAAACATTTTTAAAAAGTTTGTATTTGTTTTTTTCCATGTTTAGTATTTGTATTTTGTAGAAATCAAAGTAGTCTTGTTTTTCCGTTTTTTTCTCTTCGTCCCAATACTCCCTTATCCGAATCGTGTCTTGCATTCTGAGACCTTTTATTTAGCCGCGTCCCAATTCGGTTGCGGCCCAAAAATATCAGTTTATTGCTTGTCATCTGTTTCAGAAATATTAATGCTATCAATAAAGTAAAATAAATAAAATTTAAAAATATAAAGATCACATATAGATATAAGCGTGTCTCTTCTGTTTTGGGCCCAACCCTGAATTCGGAGAACCGAAAACAAGTTCCCAGAGGTTTTCTTATGATCGGACCTGACTACATTAATTTAATTTAATGATCAGGCACCTTTTTTCTTATATACAAAATTCCAATATTCAATTCAAACCAAAATAAATACGAGACCAAAATATTAATTAAATTTAAATCTTTTATTACAATTTTTTTTCAAAAAAGATTACAATTTCTTTCATTAATTATTATTTTTAATTTAAAGAATCTTTTATTCTATAATAAAACCTATTTCAGAATCTACAAACATTAATTTTAAAATCGACGTTAATTCTCGTTGTATAAAGAAAAGTAAAAGTAAAGGCAATTATTATTTTTATTATTATTAATTTTTGACCACCAATTACAAAATACAATTAATATTTCAACATAACTTTTAAAATGAAATGTTATCTCTTTTAGTTTTCTTTATAAAAAATATATTTTTTGTTACAACCCTTTTTAATTAAAATACAATTATTATTTTTTGTTTTGACGTCAAAATAAAATTTACTCACTTGAATTGTGTGCACACCAAATTTTTCTTTATTACAAATAGACAGCTCTTAACCCATGGAGGACAGAAAGGGAATTGTTTTTTTGACTGAAGAAAAAAATAGCCCTTTCCTAGCCCCTACTCCTTTCACTGTCAGATGTGTGTGGAGGGGCATGGCGGTACATTCAAATCGAAACTTGACATAGAAATAAGGACTTAAAATCAGACTCTTTCTAAAATCAATTTGAGTAGTTTTTTTCTTGTTCGTCATGCTGTAAATAATATTAGGCAAAAGTTTGTTATTTGGACTGCGTATTTCAGCTTAATATCGTACATTTTTTGAATTGATCGTTTACATTTACTTCTCATTATTAGTTTTAACTTGCAGTAAAAATCTTTTCTACAAAATAAAATTTTTGTTATTCATTATAGGCGACGGACTCTTTTGGAGAAGGGTGACCCTATTGTCATGGCCGGGTTTTCACCAGATCGAAAATGCCGGCAACAGCTGGAAGAGATACGCCCTGGAAAAGTATTTCGCCGAGTACATCGAGAAAGCGGACATCAACACGGTCGACTACCTGGAGGCTAAGAGGCTCGCCGAGGCTTTCGCCCCGTTCATCGTAAAATTGGAAATAAAAGAGCTGAACGTACCGCCGTGGCCGCCAGTCGTCGAAACCTCGGATTCGACCGACACGAACGTCTCGACGGACACGATCAACACCGGCATGTCGAAAATGACCCTGTACACGTACATGAACAGGCATGTGAAATACGACGACCCACCTATTTCGACGGATCGCATATATCTAGGGACAATATTCAGAGCACTGAACCGACTGGAAGAACTCAAAATTTGCTTCGGCTATAGAAACTATTATCGTTACAACGTAATGAACTACGCGCTCATAAAAAAGATGGACGCTTTGCGGCTGGCGTCGGCGATCGAAGCAATAAACAATTTAAAGAAATTGACTATAACTTCTTCGCTGATTCCTCCCGATATGCTCGAAATCATACGAGACAGTATCGAATGCCACGATGGCCTCGAAGAGCTGGAATTGAGCCGTTTACGTATCGGAGACAAGATTATAATTGATATTATCGATATTCTCGAGAATCTAGAATTGCTCAAAAAAGTTTCCCTCGTCGAAAACGGTATTACATCAAATGGGATTTCTCTTTTAGTGTACGCGCTTATGCATAAAAATATAAAAATAGAAGAGTTGGATCTTTCTTTTAATAAACTCGACGATGTCGCTGGCTCGATGCTAGCGGGCGTGATTCTTTATCGGGATCGGCTGAAAAAGCTGTATCTGGCCGGTTGTGGGCTAGGTTCCGAATCGGGGGTAAATTTCGGCATAGCGATCCAGTCTAATACGACTCTGGAGGTGCTGGATTTGAGCGGAAATTACTTTGATTACGAAGCCGGCGAAAGTCTTTTAAGGGGGGTAGAAAACAACAATACTTTATCAATGCTGGATGTCCGAGGCTGCGATCTGCCGAAAGAAACGGTAAAGGATATTTTGGACATTTGCTTCGAACATAACGAACAACACCGAAAGAAGGAACCCGTCTACAAGTACGTCCTTCCGAAGAAAAAAGCGACCCCGCCACCTTTGGTGGAAGAAGAAGAAGAAATGGACACCGAACAATGGATACTCAGCAAATGCTTTATGGGAGAAAAAGACAACATGACCTTGGATAACGCAATGTCCCAGGAAACGGTTTTGTCGGGCAGCTTCTCTGATATATCGGACTATTACGCAGAACAGAGGGACTGCATGTTGAAAGCCGGCTTCACTGGTACGTTCTCGTCCGGTTTCGGACCAGTGATAGAAGGATACGTTGAAGACACAAGAAGGAGGCAGCGCGAGGAAGCTAGAAGACCGAAAACGATCGCAGAGCCCGTCGTGCCACAGGTTGACCTCGTAAAGAAACAACAGGATTACTTCGAAAAACGCATTGTGCCTCCCACTGAACCCGTGGAAACAATCTCTGAAGAGGAGAGTGAAAGGCCGAGTTTGGCTCTCAGATTGTCTGCCGATTCCTTCGAACAGCAGAACTTAATATTTACAGGAAAAACGAGACAAGAGCAAGACGATTTTCAGAACGCTAAACGAGTCTTCCAATTAGGAAGGAGGAAGAAGAAACGCAGAAGCTATAGAGAACGCTACCTCGAGGAAGAAGAGGAGTTCGAAGAGGAAGAGGAATATATTAGGGATCCTCGCGGAACGTTAGAAATGGAAAAACGCATATTTAAGATGACTGATGGCGTTTTTACCCGCACCCATAAAGACGAATGGGGTAAGGCTCCCAAAATAGAAGTGGTCAAACAGGTCGATGTCGGGTTATGTAGGGATTACGAGGATGATACTATGAAAGAAGATTCTAAGGAGAAACAGTTGGCCACTGGGAAGGATCCAAGACAAGAATTGAAGCAAAAGCAAAAACGTACGCTCCTCCAATTACACAAGAAGTGGGAAAATATGTTGAAACGACCCGATGAGAGCATGCCACAATCTGGAGACGATCTATCATCATTGGAAGACGTAGAAGGTCTAGAGCTAGTCGACGACCTGTGCAGATCTGAAACCATCGCACTCGGCGATGAGAAAGAACTCACCACAGTCTGTGAAATACCGTTCTGGCGCCCTCAGGAGAGGAAGGTTGCGGAAAAAATTAAGGCTGTACAACAGGGACTCAGCGAAGAGAAAAAGCAGTCAGCCACAGTAGAAGACGAAACGAAACAACAAGACGACACACAGTCCCCCAAGGTGATAATGGAAAAGACTTGGCAACAAATATACGACTCTGTCATGTCGAGCTCTGTTGGCAAGAGCGATGTAAAAGACAAGGAGGATTTTTTCATAATCAAAAACTATCTCGACGTCGGAACGAAAACTTACGGTCGCGACAGCTTTGAAACTTCCATCGTTCTTCAACAGATGGTCGCAAACGAAAAAGAGTTTATACTGACTCCGAATACCTTATCCGCTTACGAAAAACTATTGCGCCTGAAAGAAATAGAAGCTCAATTTATAAAAGACTTCACCCCTCCTGTTGTCGAAGTCAAGGAACCACCGTTTTACGGTTACAACACTGAACTCTACGAAAATATGTATCACGAAGAGACTGTTGTCCCTGAAGAAGAGTTCGCTTCGGAAGTAGAAAACCAATCCGCCGGAGAAACTATAACAGAAGTGACTTCAAATTAAAATATATGCTTATAAACACCACGATAATATTGCTAACTTGTTGTAAGTAATAAAAATATTCGTTTTACACTAACCCGGTCAGTTATATATCTGTCTCAAATTAACATATAAGCCAAAATGTACTCGCAGATCACAAGTCAATATCAAGTGTTTTGTGTGGTGTTTAGTGGCCGTTAGTCAATGATTATTCGGAGATGGTGAGACCGCATCTCACGATCTCCGAATAATCATCAAGTATTTTGTCTTTTCCATTTATTCAACCCGGGACTTTAAAAATTCATTTTTTAGAACTAATTTATCTGTTAATATGGAAGTTCTTGATTATTTACCACCATTTGAAGAATGTCCGAAAAATATCGCCGTAATTTTTTTTTTTTTTTTTTTTTGTTTGACAGACCTGCGTCTTATCCGTCCATCCACCGAGGCTGTGCTGTTCAGCTCCGGTGCGGTCAACAGTTAGTTCAGTACAGCACCAACGAGGCCACTTCCTGGATCTAAACTCATTCACATTCTCTTACTTACTTTTAATGCTGTCTCTTCTTTCCTTTCATCATTCACTCAATTAGTTTTGTGGAATACTCGATATTCCTCCATCACCCTCTACACGTATTACAGAAACCAATCTAATTGAGGGTCGATGGGGTACTCAATACTGCGCCACCAGCCCTCTTACACTGCACATTCACGCCAATAAATGCATTCACTCTTAACGCACGCTGTGGAGACAAAAATACCTGGATTACGGAAGCACGCCACATTTCCCAGTCATTATATTTCATGCATTTTCATTATTACATCATTTCCTGTTTTTTCCAATACCTAGTGGAAACCTCAGAGTTAGGAGAGAATGCAGCGAGAACAGATGGTAATCAATATCAGCTACCAATACAATCCACCAATATTGGGGTTCTGTCAATAATGCTACTCAGCTAATAATTAACTGGAATATGAAGTCATCCTAATAGAATTGTTTAAAGATTTTTCCTGTTATAAATTTTCCAGCAAGCCTACAAACCTTTATTTGCAAACCATGGCCACTTCTAGTCGACCAATATATAACTTTTTATTTAAGGTCTTGTTTGAGGTGAAAAAGTTAGTGTCACGAGCGGGACTTGAACCCACGGTTTTCGGCTCAACGCGGACACCAACTCTTCATTTACAACCTTTTGAATTTTTCCCTCCTGTTAGCGAATTAAGTACTTCTGTAATTATTATATTAATCCATACATATAACTAGTATTCATTATTGACCGTGTCCAAAATAATTGGTCTTATTTTGTGAAGTCACGATAGCTCAAGTGGATAGAGCAGCGCTGTATTGAGCCGAAGGTCCTGTGTTCGAATTCCACTCGTGACACTAACTTTTACATCTCAACCAAATCTTAGATAAAAAGTATAATTAATTATTATAATAATTTGTCAATTATGAGTAATAAACATATATGGATTAATTTAATACTAATCAATACCTCATTTATTCTGACCGTAACTAAACTAAGGTAAATTAAAAAAAATCGATGGGGATAAATGTGTGTAGATCTAATTGGGAAGAACCAAAGACTTTTTCACAGACATTATTTCAACAAATTAGACTAAAATTCACATCAGTGCTATTATACATTGCATTAATGAATATATAGTTTAAATACATGAAATAACACGAATTTAAAAATACGCGGATGAATCAGTGGGAAGGGTTTTTTTTCAAGAGCAAGTTCTCTCAGTCATAAAAAGTCCGTAAATTCTGGATTTGAATTGATAATAGAGAAAATACGTGAAGAAAATACTTCAAACAAAAAATTAGAGCAGTGAATTTAAAAGAATGTGTAACTGCTTTGAATTAAAAAGTATGATCTAAATATGACCAACTAAAGTTTCGTCGTAAAAATAATATTTAAAAAAATTCAAATTATCGTTGTGGTTTTCCAGTTTCCGTTCGAAAAGTACAAACAAAATACAATTCGTCGAAACTGTTCAATTTGAAACTTTTCCCATTGGAAGATTTTGCAGAACGGGCAAAACGGCGGCGTGGCCGGGCCAGGTCTGTCGATCGATCCAAAACACCCTGGGGGATTAATTCGTTTAGGAGTGGCCTACACCCTGGTGATTATCCACAAGGGTTCGCTCTGACTGTGATAATTATGACGGAGCGGCTTAACCGGAACTCGATTCGGGCAGATCCGGTGTAAAAGTAGCAACCAAACTTCTTTTAAAAACTCCAAAAGCAGCATTGAACAATCCAGGACGAGCTTTTCAAACTACAATTTTATTTCTCGTTTTAATTTTGTACTGGTAAGTTGAGATTACAAGATAATTGGCAATGTTTAATACAATTGTTTATTTTTACCCAATTTTTAATTTTAAGTTTTAACCAATACTCACATCACCCTAAAATATACATACAAGGTGTATCAACTACTATAATCCACCCATTTAATTCTGAAACGATTCATTTTAGCAAAAAATGGTTTTATAAACTCCAAGTTAATTTTGTCAAGGAATCGCGTGGTGGTATCAGATTTAACATAATTTTCTCATCTAGCTGGGAAATTACACTAAATTTGTTACTTTAAATGGGAATCCCAAATTTTTATTGAACAATTCAATTCTAGAGCTGATATTATGTCACTTTTACTGACAGGAAAATTCTGATAGGATCGACTATTTCCGAGTTATGCCCGACGGAAGACGCGTGAGGTGGTTGCTTTTTGTAACAAGATGGCCCTCCCTGTTTTAGTCTAAAATGCAGGGGTTTTACATTGTGTCTTTTTGCGCAGGGAGCAATAGAAACAAAAATTGTAATAAATGATCAAATCTGCAACAATACATAAGAAATAGCGGAGAGGCATTTTTTTATTACATTTATATTATTTACAACTGCAAGTGATGTATTAAGTAAATATGTTCGTATATGTTGAATTATCATTTGAGGCTCTTGTAGGAGAAGTTGCCCAGTGGTAACACTCCTTCACACTGATATCTTGTTGTCTTCACACAATGAGAAGGTCTCGGGGCCACTTTCGCTTCAATCGTCTTGGAGGATTTTCAGGTAGGGTTGGAAGTGATAAATTTCGTACGAATGACATTTTTTATATCGGGTATTGATGAGTTCGTGTACAAATCGGATGTGTAGGTGTTTATGGATAGTGTAATTTGAAACGTAAAAGGGAGCATTTATAATTTGACGGAGAATTTTAGATTGGATTGATTGGAGACGCTGGGAATTGGAAACCTTGGTTGAGCCCCACACTTCACAACCGTACGCCCAGAGACGTCTAATCATTGTCTTGTAAATTAAAAGTTTATTTTCAAGGTCTAATTTTGATCGTGAGTCGAGAAGTCTTTTTATCAATTTATAACGTCGGTTTGTTTGCTGTCTTTTCAGTCTTGTATGGGGATTCCAAGTCAGTCGTTTATCCATGAAAAGTCCAAGATAACGCACAAGGTCAGTGGTAGGCAATGGAATTCCATTTATACTCACCGCAGGACAGACATTTTTACGTAAGGTAAAATTGATCTGTGTGCTTTTTGTTAGGTTTACCTTTATTCTCCACTTTGTGAACCATATTGTTAATTCATTCAGGTGTTGTTGTAAGTGTTGAGTGTTAATTGAGGGGTCCGAATTGCGTGTAAGAATCGCTGTATCATCAGCGAATGTGTGTGTCGAAATGTTAACGTGTGTAGGAATATCTGCAGTGTATATGGAAAATAGAAAAGGGCCAAGTATGCTTCCCTGAGGAACACCCGCCCTTATGCGTATATAAGGTGAGAATTCAGTTCCCTGACGGACTCGACAAAATCGATCCGTCAGATAAGATCTCAGTATAAGATAGTACGTATGAGGGAGGATGTTCCTCAGTTTCCAAAGCAAGCCCGAGTGCCAGACTCGATCGAAGGCCTGTTCTAAATCAAGAAAGACACCCAAGCAATGCTGTTTTTGTTCGAGGGAAGAGGCCATATTGTCAGCAACACGATGTAATTGATGAGTTGTCGAGTGAAATGTGCGGAACCCAAACTGATGATCTGGAATAATATTAGAATTTTCAATTATTGGCAGTAATCCTCGGAGAAGTAGTTTTTCTAGTATTTTGGCAAGGATAGAAAGGAGACTAATGGGTCGGTAGGAATTTGGAAGATCAGAAGGTTGATTTGGCTTATGAATCATTTTAATTAAAGAGAACTTCCATTGCAATGGAAAATATGTGGTCCTGAGTACAGCGTTGTATAAGTATGTTAAGTATAGTAAACCTCTGTGGGGCAAATTTTGTAATATTTGTAAAAAAAAAAAAATAATAAAATAAAATAAAATAAAAAAATAAAAACCTACTGCCCAACACCGAGTGGTTGCATTTTAAAACAAATTGTACTTATACTTCATGACATATTGGTCCTGAGTACAGCGTTGTATAGGTATGTATGTAGAGGCATTTTAAAAATAAAACGGACTCGATGATGTTTTTAAACAAATTCTTTTGTAATTTTTTTTTTTTTTTTGGTGGCAAAAAATCATATAAACTAAGCGTAAAAGCAACATCATGATCCCTACCCTAATCTGAGACGATTCCTATCCTAAATTAACTTGCTAATACTAATCGTTTTCGAAATAAACGGGGAGGCCATCTCGTTACAAAAATCATAACCTCCTGACTCGTCTTCTTTCAGGCGTAACTCAGAAATGGTCAATCCAATCAAAATTTGCCTTTCAGTAAATCTGGCATAAAATAAATTTTAGAATCGAATTGTACAATAAACATATGGGATTCTCATTTAAAATAACAAAATTAGTGTCATTTCCCAGCTAGATGAGAAAGTTATGTTAAACCTATTGCCACCACGCGACTCCTAGCCAATTTTTTATTTTTTATTACGATCTCTAATTGTTATTTATAATACGTAATTTGCGGATACATGAACGTACATATATACAACTATTTACATTTAGGGGAGCAATGTTATCCTCCCTCTTCACTTTGTTTATGTTTTTTTACTTTTTACTCAGAAAGGAGGTCGCGGGGCCATTTCCTCTTGAGACGCCTTTTGAGAATGGACAGGGCTTGAGCAAGACTATTTGGA